CTGAGGGAGAAGCAAGGGAGGGGGCGGGGTGGTGGTGGAACATGAGATCTCAACTACTGAAGCCCCATCAAGGCCGCGACCGGTGTCCCTGTATCGAAAGTACTCAGTGCGACCTACAGAGCGAGTAATCGCTGGTTCGACATAGTGTAGAACTAGGACAATGGGGAAGTGCAGGAAGAAAAAATGTTCGTCATATCTCTCTAATCTCAATGTCATACCCTTTGCAGCAATTGTCTCCGAGGGATTTAAACCTTTGATAACACTTTGGAAATGTTAAAGAAGACACCAGACAAGCCATAGGGGTAGTAGAAGTGGATGAGTTCAGGAGGAGGAGTACCATTAAGCATTCACTCTACCAGTAGTCACACCGTCACTGGCACTACGTTGTAGGACAATAGATGGCCAAGACGGCTACTACCAGACTAAATCGTGGTTAGTTCAACGTCGTTTGGTAGAACCAGGATGAAATCTTAGTCTCGCAATGCATTCAACGTCTTTAATAGGCCTAGGCTGGCTGGTTTCATTGTCCATAGCCTGTGCCGTTCCTGGCATTGTGGTGCAGGTTCCAACATCACCCTGCCATCCCTCGGCGTCACTTCCGTTGTGGATAACACCTTGAGCGTTGCCCTGAACCGATGAGGACACTCTCAGAGCCCACGTAGACAGAGGTATCGGGATCTCAATGGGACTGCGGGTGAGATTCATTGAGGGATGTATGCAGGTACTGCAGACCCGTGTTGCCAACCTGGCGCCTCCAATCCCGCGCCACCAAACGGCAGATTATCCAGCACCACTGCTCACACACTTCTCCACGGCGTCGGGGAGCTCCATCCATATTAAGAATGGTACTAATAATTGTCTCCCGGTGTTCAAGCATTAGAAGTGGCGCACCTTGCAAGAGATTGGCTCAGCGACGATGTGCTCCACATTGTTGTCATTGGGGGATAATGTGCGATACAATGACGAGTGTCTTTACTTGGATGTGGCGCCTGGGATTCGCAGTGTAGTTTCCATTTGATAGCGTTCCGCCCCCCTAAAACGGATAACCTGAGTATTGAGTCAGGTCTGAGGGCTGGGCAAACTAACGCCCCAGCTCAGCCTGAGATTATCCTGGAACTGTCTTTTTGGAATCGAGTTAGGTCCAGTGTCTATACAGGCATGTCGCTGATGTTGAAAACATTCGCACCATGTCTTGCGATCGTCTGTTGGCTTTCTACGTATGCATTGCAGCATGCCTTCCAGCACAGCTCCGGCTTTGGGCACACTCTGAGAGTGTCTGTCGCTCCAAGGTTTCAAAGATTTAACAGACGCAGTCAACACACCGAGATTCTACCAGAGATATTTTACAAATAGGTTGTGCCTAATGCCGTCGGATAGTGTACATCATGGGCTACACCGCCCGGGGAGCTTGGTATGCACACCCTGAGCAGTCGGTAGGATCGAGAAGGCAAGAGCCCAAGGGAGGGGCGCCCAACGCCGTAAGGAACAAACTGCCATCTCCGTGGTGACGTTGCACATGTCCATGAGCGCGACCGCACAACCTAAAATGGAGAGGTTTTCAAACGATGCAATTGACGTTATTGTGTGCATGAGTGGTGATGGTTCAGGGTGGGTGGTCCAGCATCTGCTATCGTCAGCACCGCACATAGGATCGATGGCCGCAGACGGTGTGCAGCCATTCGAACAGGTGGCTGCGGTGGCAACGGCGCATCCCATAACTACACACACCTTCGGAGATCTCAACGCCCTGGAATCCTGCCTATTCCCTCCCGCACCGTGCGTTGTGCGTTTTCATAATTTCCAAAAGACTAGAGCTTAGTTGACCCGGAATAGGCTACTCTTCTTTTACGGTGAGTGCTGTTCAGTGAGGCACTGTTCAGGGCGGTGCACCACCTCTGGGCTGGTATGGCAAATGTGATGGACAACAGCGTGCTCTGAATTCAATTGGGGATTCGGTCATCCCTAGGGACACCCGCGATGCTATAGAGATTTCAGTTTCTACACGCACCCTCCTCTCTAAGCGTGGGTACGAATAGGAAGTGTCTATCCACCCTCATCCCATCAAACACCGCCGATACGAAGGATGTCGGACCCAGAGCCCTCTGCGCAGCACGAAACTACAAAGATCATAATGGTCATTGAGGTTTACGGACGTGGTGAGTTATCCACGTCGCCCACGATGCTGCCAGTACGAGGCTGACAGCAGAGATTCACAGACCCCCTGACCATCACCGTTCCGTGCGACGAGACGCTCCGGCAGTTATCGTACTTCGTTGCCCACGAGACTGGGATTGCTACCAACAAGATTTTCTTTGTTGATTTAGCAGGAAACACGCTGCCTATGAGCCACCGAGTCACGACGGTAAGAATGATGCACTTGGTTTGCGTGATCATCATGAGCTAATGCATGTAGTTGGGCGTGCTTGGCGAGTGGTTCCCGGCAGACTTTGGATATCACATCGAGGCTGTCATTGATGAGTAGATGGCGTTGCTAGCCGGCCAAAAGTAAAAATGCTGCCGAAAATACAAAGTTTCCTTGCTCTGAGCTACACTATGGAAACGATGTGAAAGCGCGAGAAGAATCTTGTAAATGCAGAAATATGACATTGTGGGCAGCGCCGCGGCGCATCACTGTAGGCACTGAGGTACCCAGCATACGGGCCAGGGAGACATGAACGATCGTTGTCCAATCACCGTTTCACGGGGCTACACACGACGCGATAGCTCTGCGTTCTGAAAAAAATGAATTGCGTATGATCATTGAAGGACAAGTGACATGCGCACATCTGGATTGCAGCACTTACAGGTGGATGCAGCGGCCAACTTGCGTCCATGGTCTAGGTGGGTTTGGCGGCTGCAATGGGGCGGAGACCCAGACGCATTGGGAGCAGCCAACCAGTTTGATTTCTCACTAGTGATTTCTCATGGAGAATCGCCCTGGATATCTTGAATGCCTGCAGTACCTGGTCCACTGATCCTGCTGGCGAAAACTTGATGCAATGGATGTCTTAGGATCCGGTTCTCCAGCGGATATTAGTCGTCAACTCTATAGGTATAGCGGTCAAAGTGTCCCTGCCTCATGGACCATGGCGCAGTTCTGTTCGGTGATGTGAGATTGTGGTGATCATGCAGACGGGTGTCAATCACAGCGGATATCGGCTGGTTATGCTGCGGATCATCACCTTGCTGCCACGGTTGTGGGTTCAATGGTGCCTGGGCGTTAAGAGCCACGGCGATGTGTTGATCTGGTGACGTCAAAAGCGTAAAAGGTGTCTGCGTGAAGACCAGGAAGAGAGAGCAAGACATTGATACGACCGCGTAATGGCATGGATGCATGCCATTCTGACGGCAATGATTTTTTGCTGCTCACACAGCTCTACACAGGGGACATTTACGGAACTCACCAAAACCTGGGTTGCGAGACGGCATGTGTGTCACCCTGCCGTGTTTGAGCGACCGGGGTCTGCCGCCCTATCCCTTGAAAACATCAATTGCGACTTGATGGATCCAGTTGATTTGCGTTTGCTGCGTATGGAATGCTGCCAGGTCCGGACTGTTGGCGGTCGTTGAATGGGTTTGCAGACGACGACTTGGCGAGTTGACGCACGCGATGAAAAGCTATTCAAGTAGCGGTAGCGTGTCATAAAGCCAGTACCAACAACACGTGGTGGAGCTCTACGTGCGACATGCAGGAGCAGATGGGCAGCTGGTGCTTCTGTGCGGACAGTTGTTGCCAGCAATGTGGCCGTTATTTGCAGTGAAGCGTACTATCCGTGACCTAGCGCTGCTGTTTGACCGTTGTTGTATGAAAAAGGCAACACGCACGGAGGCAAACAACATGAACCAAGCATCCTCTCCTGCCATATCCTGTCCGCCAGCAGTCAATCAGTGCAAGTCACTCGTGGAAGCCTAACACAGTCTAACACCGAGAGCAGGCCTTGTGTGAACATCTGATTATGCATTCTGGTTACTTTATTACTGGTTCACTATCCTCGGTTTCCTTATTATACAAGCTAGCTGCCCAGCCTGCCTCCTGAATGCGTCCTGCGGCCCCCTCCTCCCCGGATTCCGAAAACCACCACCGCAATGAAACACCTGTGCATCCGGCAACCAACAGAAGTAGTGGCTCGTCGTGTATACCTGCAGGTAGATCAGCGAAGATTTGATTTCCAGCCTGCAAAGAAAAGGCGGCGGTCGATTGCAGCACAGTAGGGGTCCGGTCAGTTTCCCAGGCATCGCAAGGTGGCACATAGCGACGGAGTTAGCCCTATGCGCCTTTGTGGGATTATTTGAGCCCAAGATTGCTGCATGTAAGGGATTCTACACAGTCGGCGGAGGATTGAGAAGATCTCAGGGACACAGCGGAACATTGATAACAAGACCGCGTGAGATTAAAACGATCTATCCAGCCGGTAAAAAACTCACTGTCATCACCTGCACAGCAAGGAACCTTGTCGGCGCTTTTATGAATGGGCCGACGGATCGTCGCTAGTATCCGTTGGCAATGTACCCTCTGATTCACCTCTTTCCAGCCCGTCTAGTCGAAACGAATAGTCGCCCGCTGTTTTAATTTCTCTGCACACGACCTACGTCTGTTTACGCCCCCCCAGCCGTTGACGCACAACCCATCAATGCTTCTCGATCGTCACGGAGAAGGAACAGCAACCCTGTACACAGTGGGAAGGACAGCTCGCTTGTATGCGTCCATGGACCATCTGCTGAGTACCACAATTCCATCACAAAGCCGTTGCTTATGTCGGACCCTAACTGCTGTTGTTCGACGCAGCTCCACGTGAAAAGGGGGTGGTTGGATGAGTTGCACGCCCCTGCGAATGGCAAAAGTCTCATTTCTTTTGTCCTGGTACTTTAGATAGACAGTACTGGGTCTGCTCAACGAAGCAGTGGGTGAGGCCCAGAGCCGCGCCATGCGCGCTGCGGGCTACCCAGGGGTTCACCCTGACGGGTAGTTTTAGCAAATAAAAAAAGGGAAAAAAAATCCCTGTGCACACCGGGATTCGAACCCGGATTGACCTATCGGACTTCAGTATCTGGCAGGCACTGAAGGGCGGCACGCTCTACCATTGAGCTATGTACACCTGGGATGTTATTGTAAACTTCCGAAACCTCATGTGGGCCTCAGGTTCCCTGTGACCCACCTGTCGCCCAGGATGAAATCTTGTCATTCGACTTCATGGTGGAATGGTGTTTCGAATGTACCGTCCGGCACACAATAGGAGGTAGTACATTCTCCTCGACGTTTGAATAATCCTCGAAATCAACAGCGTAGCCATCATATCTGCCTAAATAATGACTAACTACAGAAACGGGACGACCAGAGTTGCGCCCACTACGGCAACACTTTTGAGCTTAAGTCTAAAAACAAGGATTTGTAAAGGCATATCCTTGTTGGTGTGACAGTTTGAATTTTAGTGTCGGTGAAAACAGTGGGGGGTTGTGATGCAACCCTAACCCGACCGGCAACTCGCGGGTATTTGGTGGTGTAACCATCACCGATGACATGTAACCATCACGGACAACTCACGGGTATATGGGTGTAACTATTGCCGATGACATGTAACCATTGTGGATGCTCCGAAAACTCACGGGTATATGCGTGTAATTATCATGGATGACATCAACACTCGTGGGCATCAAAGTGATCAAGAGGTATAACCATAGACAACAGACATTCATGAGCTAGCCTGGCTTAACTTTACTCTCTCCCGAATTTCCTCCCTGTGCTTTTCTCTATATTTCGCCTGACTTTCTTTTTTCTTGGCCTCCGTGCTCGCTATTTTCAGTTAGGATGTGGAGCTTCCTGCTCCGTGCCAATATCGTACGCAGGCGGGAGGCGACTGAACGAGTGATGGGCGGGGACGCGGAGCGGCGGTCAGGCTAATGAGTAGAGTTTTCTCACGACCGACCAGTGGCCCCGCTCCTTCTCTGTCCATCCTTCGATATCACGGTTTTCAGTAGCTCGCCCACCCACTCACGCCATTAGGGCCATCTCTGAGGCTCAGCAGCTACGCTGGGAGGACCGGCCTGGGCGCAGCAGCTGGGCGACGAGAGGCCTGGTAGCTTTTAGAGGACCAGAACGAAGCGACCGAGGACGGAGAGGATGTTTAGAGAAGCGGAGGCGGAGCCTCCGGATTGGCGGCTGAGATATGTTACGGTTTTTGGTGGCACTTGGGTTTTCTATGCGTTCTGTTTTTCTTGGCTTTGATATTATATGACAATGCACGGGTTTGCGATGCGCATCGATATTGGCACAGCTTATATGTTTATATATTCACGTTGTATTTACCTCTCTGCTCCCTTTTGTCCTCATAGTATTTATTATGGGCAACTGAACCCCCTTCTTCTTGTCCGCATAGTAGGCTCTCCCTTTCTTCACAATCGCCTTCACATGGATGGTGATGGCTCGCTCATTATTTTTGCTGGCAAAGGTAACAGGACACTCTTCCACAGGGCACCGGTCAGTCCCCACAGTTTCCTTGTGGCCACCTGGGACGATTGGGCGAACAACAGGCTGGGGGTTGATGGTGGGTGCTGTAGCTCGCTTGCCGGCACGCTTGCTGGCGATTTATTGACCGCCATGATTTCTGTGGACAGGAACTTGAAATTAGCCCTGCTATTCTAAAGACCGGGCTGTAAACCATACCGTTGTGCTTGAAGTAGGTGGTCGCGTCGCGTGAGTGTGCAGGTAAATCTACAGATACCCCACTACCATCTCCGACACTATTACCAAGTAGACAAAGCGTGACAAAGCTCGAGCTCGGATCCTTGTTTTTAGACTTAAGCTCAAAAGTGTTGCCGTAGCCCACACCTCACATTTTGCCTGACGGCAATCACAATCCCGCGCTGTTTTCGGTCTTTGTGAGACGACGCATTTATTAAAGCAACACAGGACTGGGAATCCAAGAGACTATCACATTTTCCAGTCGGCCAAACTCGCCGCTTGGCCCTAATACTGCCCTATCATCGAGCTGGAATCACCGCTACCACGTGAGTGGGCGTAGTCTTCCAACAGATTTACCGCAATCTTCTCCCAAACCTGTGGAAGAACATCAGCGAACCTTGCCGGCGCCGCCGCCTATATCTATTAGATATAATCACTGAGCTTGTTCCTTGAGGTGCACTCATTCGTGTTCGATTGGATTGAGGTCCGGAGAGTAAGGTGGCCATGTCTCAGTATGAATACCCGGACTGATGAACCGATCGCTCACCAGGTGTGCATTGTGTCTCGGTGCATTGTCCCGCTGCAAGATAGGCTCGGCCTGGCGTTGTCGCAAGCTCGTTCGAGAAAGGGGATAGGCGATACTGCTGGAGGAAGTGGTATACATATTTGTGCATACAAGCCACGACGACCGGCACCAAGGTAACCAGACTATTACGCCAGAAACATCTCCAGACCATTCCATTTTTCGCGTGATCCTGCCGCTGGATCCTCGTCCCTAGTTTGGATGCAGACTTGAACTACTTTTCGTGCTTCAGTCGGAAGACCCAATCTGTTGGAGGATCCTCGCACTTCTCCACGGCGCACTTCTCAAGTCTTCGTAGTCAATCTGCAGAATCGAGCGCTGAATTCAGACGTAGCCTTGCCGCTTCAGCTGTCAGGACAGACAGTTGGGCCGCGCTGCACTTTCTAATACCGCATTTCCAAAGGAAACTTTTGACAGTTCCAACCGAGAGGGCAGGCGCTACCTCGTTGCGCAATTCGCTGAACAGACGTCGTTGGTCGCGGTTTGCCTCTTGAGCTGGAGAGTTTGAGATTGTTATATCCACCTTACTCCTTGTTGCGCAGGAGGAAATTGTGGATTCTTGGAGCTCCACTATACCACGCTTGTGAAAATCAGCCAGCGGTTTCCTGAGTTATTGAATCATGGTTGGTGTGTGGTGATGGTGGTGTGGTCACTTGTGGCGAGCAATGCGGCACACAAAAAACCATTCTCTTTATGCTGGTACGGTAGATACCCAGTACTATGTCCTCGTCGGAACAGTGGGTGACGCCAAGCGACTGCCGGCAAGCCACCCACGTTGCACCAAGATGAGTACTTATAGCACGAAAAACAGAGAAACAAAAAAAAAAACTTGTGCGCCCCGAGATTTACCTATGGCACTTCAGTATCTGGCAGGGACTGAAGGGCGGCACGCTCTAACATTGAGCTATGCACTCGTGGGATGTTATTGTGAACGTTCGCAACCTCATGTAGACATCAGTGCGGTCACCAAGGCTGGAATCGTGTCATTGTCCTTGATGGCAGGATGCTATTTCGAATATTTTAACGCTTTTTTGTGTGCATTGGTGAGATTTATGATTGTTTACAACTATGTTGAATTTCGTCTTGCTGATTTCAGAACCGTACGATAGTCTCTTCCGCCAAACGTCAGTCACAATTATCAGCACCCACCGCCACGCCACAATGAACCGTGCGGCCAGGACAACAAGAGCAGCAGATTACCGTCGGCCCGTCAGCATGGGAGTTTCGATAACTACAAACCAACTCCTGCACTGCCGAGGATCGACAATCAAATTTGAGCCGATCCAACCGTGCTGGTAGAGATCAGAAGCGGAAGCACCGAAAACTGCGGCGTCAATCATAGAATGATTGAACTTCAAGCAGTGGTTACGATTCCCTGCGGGCGCGGCTGCTGCCACTATCTCCCTTACCGTCAACATCCGCGATCATCCCACAGAGACTGAAAGCTGCGAAGGCAAATATTTGACTGCTGGTCTTCAGGTGTTGACTGACGGGGCATTCGGGCATGTTGCGACCCAAAGCTTGCTATAGGTCCCAACGTTGGCGGCGTTGCGAAGGGCTGGAGATATTCTTTTAGGGCGCTGCTCGCGCTATTGACGCGTCTTCGTCTGCGCAATCCGTGTGGGATAGGATTGTTGGATATGGCTGCTACCTGATAGGTACAGAGATTCTGTAAACCAGCAAGATGGCAGATGTTCGTGGTGGTTGAGTGGTCGTCACGATAATAAGCAGAAGGGTGCCAAGATGATGTAGTACGCCGACAGGTTCCGATACACTCGACGTGCACGATACACAGCAACCATGCATGCAATCCTATGACTTCTTTTTCCAGATCAGATCACAATTGGGGGTATATGTCTTCGATTATCCTGCACATACTGAAACGTTACAGAATCGGAATGTAATTTCATTCAATGGTTATCCTGCCACCGACTGCACCATACAATGTCACGCCGCAAACCTTCACTGCTACTTCCTCATCTGCGAGTGGTCCTGTTGTGCTGGATATTTGAGGACAACACCGGGTCTTCGATTTCCCCAATCTCTGTAATTTGTAGCAAATCACGTCTGCAGCGGTGCAAATGGAACACGACGGTCATGCACGCCGCCGACCCGGAGCGTGTCGGCCTGTGAAGGAGCAAGTGGCACGTGGGCAAACAACGAAGGCGACTGCAGAGAGGCTGCGAGGAGTTCTATCCACAGAAAGGCTAGGTGATAGCTCTCGCCTAGATATTCGCGTGAGGATTGGCGCTGCGGCTTCTCGGCGGTCACCTACGCTGGCAACTGGAAATGAACCGGGAAAGCCAAGTACCTCGTCGGAAACAAGGAAGGCTACGACGCTGAGCTCTTCGCTATTGCCGCTGACCTTACTCTAGCACACCGTCGCTTACATGCAAGCCCCTCTTGCACAGTCCGTGTTTTTACGGACTCACAGGCTGCTCTGAGATGGCTGAAGACAGACGCACCGGGCCCCGGGCAACGGCTCCTGCCGAGAATCGCCCAGCTCGAAGCGATCCTATCGGCGGCTGGCTGGAATTTATAGTAGCACTGGGACCGGGTTACATCGGCGTCCCCGGCAGCGAGACCGCCAGCAAGCTAGCAACGGAGCAAGCAGAGCACCGCGACAACATCGACCCAAATCCCCTCAGGTAATCGTCAGAACGTCGCTCACCCACATTGCCAAGGCCACCACCCAGGCAACACGGCAAGACCGAGTCGTATGGCTCCAGACGCACTGGGCCAAGAGCTACTACCATGCGCGACGATGCATGACCAACCCTGTAGCGGCGGTGGCCCCGAAGGCGATTGCCTTGCCCTTCATCCAGCGGAGACTG